AGACAATATGTAGAGAGGCACCACTAAAAGAGCAAAGTTGGCACGCAGGTAATGTAGGCAACCAGTTAAGCAAATTTGCGACTCTCAGTATTACTGGCGATTTGTCTGGAAATTGTATTAGCTGTGGCTTGGTGAACCATATGCCTTTATATAAATTATTGTTTGTATTTAATTTATTTTTACAAATTTTTTAATATAAAAGATGTAAAAATATTTTAAATCGGATTTTTTGAGACTTTTGCTGGCTGAACAAATTCATATTAAAAAAAGTTTAAAACGTTCATATACAAGACGATTTTCAAGGAACATGTTAATAAAAACTAGTGGATATGTATTTTAACGAATTATACATGTGTTTTAACAAATTAGAAGATCAATTTAATAAAACTATTATACTTGTAGGTACATAGCATCGACAAATCGGACAAAAAAGGGGTAGAACACTGGGGTCAATAAAAAACAGAAGAGTAAAGTGCTTTGGCTTGATAAATTCTATATATCTTAAATGCCTTTTAAAATAAGCAGATTAAACCTCGAACCGCCACTGATATTAGGATAGAATTCAACTATATTTTGAATAAGAAATTTTTTTTTATTGCATTTTAAAAATTTAAAATATGTAATAGCAGAAAATTATATACGCTCTCTGGCTTACAAACATTATTCACTAGACCAATATTACCTATATGTTTAAATAATACACCCCTGCAATATTGACACAAAAGCGCACGATGGTCAGTAAACCCTCCGTTATTGACGGACAGATCATTCGTCATAAGTTCAACCCGCATTGTATTATTGCATCAAAGTATGGAAATCGGCATTAATGTGACATATCTGGCCGTGTCTTGTAAACAAGTCGGCCAGTCAGTCACAATCCAAAAATATGCTTAGTCGCTTAGCCACCGTATCGAAACGTGCAGCAGATTTCGGTCCTAATCGAGTTTGGAGGAATTAGAACTTTTACCACACATCCGGCGAGAGAGGAAAGGTAGGTTAAGATTGGATTAAAAAAAAACAAATTGTTTCGTAAGGGTGTAGACTGCACAGGAAACTATTTTAGGGTTTCTGTGTCCAATTATTTTTGCTAGAAAGTTTATTTTAGTTCTATTTAATAAAAAATCAGTGATTACGTCATTATGACCTCACCGGTGACCTAATCTCTTTATTATGCATATTGGGATACCTAAAAAACATAACATTCTTCTAAATATACTATATGATATGGGGGTTATATACTAACTGCAGTCTAAATAAAAGGTCCACTTCAGGTATCAAAAAAAATGCCAAACTGCAGTCTAAACATTTCAGTAGCAGGCAGTCTAGGTAGATGAAATAAGCTTACTCTATATAATCAGTGGCGTACGCTGTCCAGTTTTTAATGTCGTTATAATAATGCAAATTCAATGTTTAATACTACAAACTTAAAAAAGTCAGTGTAATGTAAAATTAATGTGGATACAGATTTAATAAAACACGTTATATATAATATAATTTAATATTTCCGAAACAGTTAGGTATAGGACATAGAACATAAAATATGTCTAGAATTTTCTTGAAGAATCCAAAATTAAAAAATATATATTGTGTTGCATTTAAAAGTTCGTATTGGCCACTGTTTCTGTTAAAAAAAAATGCGCAACTAAAAATACCAATTGACGTGTCCGAGCGTTTTTCCGAACACGTCCTCATTTATTTATTAGCGAATTTATTCCATTTGGTTGTTCCATAGTGTATATTGGAATTACATTAGCTAATTTGTTAATAGCAGTAAGAACTTTTTAGTTTTTCTATATAACTACAAATTTTTATTATAAAAATTAATTTGATCTTTTATAATGGATCCTTATATTAGAGATCACCATATTTCTACTTTACAAAATGTTATTACCTACAGCATTGAAGATACAAATAACATTTTAGACGAAACAAAACGTATTAATTTCACAATATTTCAGAATAATATACAAAGTCTAAATGCACATTTAGATGAATTGCAGGTAATGTTTGCAGGTTTTAATAAGGCGTTTGATTGTTATGTGGAAACATAAAAACTTTATAACCCTGAAATGTTTTCTTTACCTGGTTATAATCTTATCTATTCAGAGAGAAATTTAAACAGAGCAGATGGGGTAGTCCTATATATTAAAAACAATTTGACATACAACTATAAAATCGTATCTCTAAACAATATAAACGCACTAGAAATAGTTATCCATAAATTGAACAAATCAGTTAAATTATTAACAATCTATAGATCTCTCAGTACATGTTCATTCCAATTCAATCAGGATCTATACAATTACTTAAAGCAAAATAAGCAAAATAATCACATAAATATAATCGTTGGGGACATAAATATTAATATCTTGAAGGAAACTGATGTAAGTCAAGAGGATTTAAATATTTTGCGTGAACATGGATACATATCAGTGATTAATTCCCTCACCAGAATACAGGGTAGCAGTAAAACCTGCCTGGATCATTTTCATGTTAATACAAGCGAATCCTTAGAAAATTTAGTACCCATAGTACTCTGGTCCTCAATTGGTGATTACTTCTCTAAAATTTTACAGTACCAGTATCCATCAAATTTGAAAGATTCAAGTGAAGGCAAATATCATAAAGTAATATGTGATTACAATTCATTGCATAAAATATTATCACAGGAAAATTGGGTAGATATTTATTCTTCCATAGATGTTAATAAAATGACAGATATTTTCATTACTAAATTAAAATATTATATAAACTCAAGCAACCGGGTAATAAAAATCAACCGTTCTCATTTCAAACGTAATCCTTGGATTACACATGGTTTAGTAGCATCTATTAATATTAAGAATTCTTTATATGAAACAGTTAAATAACAACCAAACAATACACAAGCCTTAAAAAAATTTTAAAGTAGGTATACATAAACCAACTAAATGAACTGATAAAAATTGTCAAAACTGACTACTATAAAAATGAAATTAGTAAAAATGAGAATTCCTCAAAACATATGTGGCAAGTTGTAAAAAATATTCAAAATCAGTGTAAAGCAGAGTATAGTGAAGTGCTTACACACTAGTGTCAGTGTCTATTTTGTATTAGATTCTAAGGAACTATTGAGTAAGACTTTTAGTTTTAAGATTGAAATTAGTAAAATAAGTTAGATTGAAATTGCTCATTAATCGTTACCGATCAGATTGTAATTTCAAGATAAGACTGCTAGACTAGGATTTTTAGAGCTTGACAGCTTGATTGGAAAGTTGGAGAAGGGCAAGTTTTTATTAAGCCAAAATTCAACTTTGATGCCTGTCACATAACGTCATTAATTGATTATCGATGGATTGCTTGTGCTGATTAAAAAAACAGCATTTAGCTAATTCATTTGTCATTTATGATTTAAATTCTAAAAATGAACAAATAAGGGAATATTGCTGCATTAATTGGCTCTAAAAATAGATACAGTAGTACTTCTTTTGACGTTAGTAATAATAATAATAATAATAATACTCTTCCTAATTCACCCCCTTACGAGTGAATTTTAACCCCAAAAGCTGAGCTTGTCCGGGGAAAGGGACGGCTATTATTATTATTTGCCGTGGCGCTCCGGGGCGACTTAAAGATGATTGATGGTGCCATTTGACTTACAGGTGAGGAAAACCCGGAAAACCTCACCCACCATCATCGAGACGGTAATGTATGGCGAATTTTTTTAATCTGCATGTCATATCAACAGAAATTGAATTTCTATTAATATGCCACACATCAAATCCTAAACCGAACCATGCAATTTAATTAAAAATCCACATGGTCTGGTCTAGGATTCGAAACCCAGCAGTCTCAGACTCATAAACTTGCCTATAAATGAATATAAACGCGATAGACCGCTACACCACCGTGCCCGATCTGTCTCTTTCCAAACTGTCCATTGCCTCGGAACAAAGGTGGCACGATTGACTAGTTCGGTGACAACCACCAATAATAAATGAACGTAAATCAAATCTACCGCAAATCCACTGGTGAATAAGTAAAAGTAATTTTTTCACCGATGGAGCCACTTATATAAAAAAAACTCGACTAACGTCTAGACTCTAGATAGAATGAAGTAGGTAGAGACGACATAAACTATATTTTGCGATATGACAAGTGGACGCAATTTGGAGTCATAATTTTAAATTAATTTTATATTTGACGGAATGAAAATACTTTTATTTCATTTAAATCACGCTATTTTAAAAATGTTATTTATTCCAAAACTGACTAGCTCCAGTTTGACATATGACGTAAAAGAGTAATAAAAAAGTGCAGACACTTTTAGTACCGTCATTGCATGTCCTTATTCTATATCTATGAATGGAAAGATTCGTATGCCCCGCCCTATTTTGTGACGTCACGGTGAGCAATGTACAAAATATAGTATACCTCTCTTTTTAGCCGCAGGCTTTCGCGAACACATCTCGCTCCCTCGGGCTCACTCAAAAAAGTGTTTCAGGAAGACGCGATTAGCCAGAGCGTAGTGGCGTACCAAAAAATAGAGATTAACACGTATAAACACAACAAAATTATTAAAATTGAATTTATATTTTTATGTTATTTATTTTAAAATAATGTATTTTTATGAAATGTAACTGGGTGTTCACAGCACAAACGAACCAATGGAAAAACCACCCCAGCTATAAATAAACAGAACAAATTACTATTATGTACTTATGTATAGCGTCGTATGTACTAAAATGACGATAGAGCAAAGATATTATTACTCTGTATTTTCGTATAATTTAAATTTTTTAATATGAATTATTTTTAAAGTAAACTTAAAAAATACTGTAGGTAAACTATAAAATACTGATAAAGTACCATATTAATCCCATATTTAGGTGTAGTTCATGTTATTTTTTGCATACCTTAGTATAAAAACTCATTCTATAGATCAGTAAAAAGCAGTATTAAAGGAAACAGTTTATTCTAAATTTAAATACATTTATACAAAACATCACATATCAATATTTTCACCAGGGTTGAACAGCTGGACCAACGGTTCTAATAAGAGGAGCAGATTGAGCAGCAATAACAGGAGCAGAAACAGCGTACCTCACTGGAGCTGCACTTCTTAATACAAGCGGCGACGAAACAACAGCAGGTGCATAACTTCTAGCTAACAGAGGAGCTGGTTGAGCTGTAAAAACTGGAGCTGAGGCGGCATAAGTTAGAGGAGCTGGAGCGCCAAAGGAAAGAGGAAGAGGAGCTGGAGCACCGAAAGAAAGTGGAAGAGGACCTACACTTTTAACTACTGGTGCAGATGCTGCATAAGTAAAAGGAGCTACTGACCTTAATATGGGTGCAGGTGCAGCATAAGAAAGAGGAGCTACTGACCTAAATACAGGTGCAGATGGAGCGAAGGAAAGTTGTGCTGGTGCGGAGTAAGTAAGAGGGGCCACTGATCTAAATACAGGTGCTGATGGAGCGAAGGAAAGTGGGACTGTGGTTCCAAATACAGGTGCAGGTGCTGATCTGATCAATTGAGGTGCTGGATAGGAAAGAGGTAAGGAGTATGAAACAGGGCTGGTGGATAGAGTTTGTACGGGAGAATTATGAAGAAATCCTGCTCTAGCGTAAGCGATGGCTGCAATAAAGATGATGAGCTGAAAAAAAAGAGATTAATTAATATAATAAAAGAGATTGATAAAAATAATCACAAGTTTATTGTAAAAGATCAGTAGATATTATGTACACCTAGTTATTTTTATTTGCTTTTAAAAACTGTTTAAAAAATTAAATATCTCTTAAACATTTTTTTAAATTTAACATTTCATTGTATATTATTTATTTTGTCGAATAAAATAAATATAAATAAAAATATAAGCACAAATAACTTTTAAATTATTATTGCAACAATTAATTTATTTAAATACTGTGATAAAAAAGGCAGGTACAAATAAATAAATAGTTTTCACTGCCAAAGATTCTTGAAAATACTGAAAAACTATTTAAAATTTTTGAATTTCATCTAAGTTAAAATTCTATTGAGTTTAAAGGCAAATAATATTTGTCAAATATAAAATAACGATTTTTTTTATTTGATAGCTATCAAGTGGATATTGTACACCAAAAATTGACAAAAAAATATATTTCTTGCTTTTACATAAACATTTTACCTTTCAAAGTGGCAAAGGATTGGTATTGCAATTTCTTAAGATTATAAATTATAAAAGGTCGTCCAAAATGTAAAATAATGTAAGAACTAATTTACAAAATAATAATTTAGGAGTAAAAATAAATAAAAAAAAAATGACTACATATCTATATAGAAAAACTACAGATTTCTTGTTTTAATCGGTTATTTTTGTTCTTATATGATTTCCAAAAATCCATTATGTCACTGATAAAGTAAAAAAAAGAATCATAATCAATAAAATCTCTACAAGATCATATTTTTGCGAGAACAATAATATTTATCATTATGAAAAACAAACATCTGTTATTTGAAGAACATTAATATTTATGCAATTATAAACTTACTTTGGATGCCATATTGTTGCTATTCAAAGACTGTTCGAAGAACTGATGCAGTACAACAAAAATTTGGATGCTTTTATACCTAGTAAATTTTGAAGATGCGACAATGGAAGATCTAATAAAACACTTTCAATTTTTTCAAAGTCATTATTCAAAACGCATTTAAATAAGTAATCGGAATTCATATATGCAAAAATTGGCACAAATTTAAATTAGTTCGGTTTCATAATTAATTGTTATATAAATTATATTAAAATTTGTCATATGTTTAAAATTTGTAAAAATAGCTTGATGAATTATTATTTCTTATTTTTTGGAACAGGGTCAAATTCAAATGTACTAGAATGTTTCTGCTATACAATAAATAAAATGTCTTTACAAAAACATACCACATATTCCTTAGATCAAAATAAGTCGATTTAAGTAAAATTACCTTAGTACAAAGTTGCTTCGTTTGGGCTCCAGAGGGCCTTGAAGTTACAATTTTTAAATCGTTTTTCCCATATAAATTTAAAACGGCATATGCGATTTTGCTGAAATTTGGTATATTGGTAGAGTTTTATGTGGCAAAAAAATAGTATTAAAATTTTGTCCGGTAATAATACATAGGCTTAGAACTTGATTTTTTAAATAGTTGAACCTTTAAAAATTCTACGCCAATAAAAGAAAAGGAGTTTGAGTTTGAAATTTAGATTGCGCAACTCATTTACTTTAAAAAAGGTACTCCTGATAAGACTCGATTACTCTCATGGTTTTGACGAAATTTGCATTTTAGTAATTTTAGAACATAAACAATAATTATTAAAATACAAACTTTGTCAAAACCATGAGAGTAAATCGAGTGTTATCAAGGGCACTATTTTGTAGTAAATGAGTACCCAATCCAAATTTCATACTCAAGCCCCTTTTTTGCCATTGGCGTAGAATTTTTAAAGGTGCAATTATTTAAAAAATCAAGTTCTACGCCTATGTATTATTATCGGACAAAATTTTATACGATGAAAAACATAAAAATGTACTTTTTTTATATCTTCTTCAACACCTCTAATCGAGACTTTTAACAAAATTACTCGATTCTTGCCATGTACGATTTTTTGAGGAATATTAATTATTTGCCTGCAATACGTATACAAAAACATTTATTGTTGGTTTCCATAGTTTCATCTAAATAAAAATATTGTCAAGTTTTAACACTTAATCTTTTGTTAACGATTGAAAGTGTTCTATCTGACTCAATAATTAAAAAAAACAAATGCGTGGTTTATTAATATGGCTGTACAATATACCAATGCAGAATATACCGATATGTTACTGACATTATGATTTTGTGAAGGAAATGCTCGAGGGAGTGTCAGGGTGTACTCTGAAAGGTTTCCAAATCGTCGTGTACCTAGCCACCCAACTTTTGCTGCTGAGAGACGTCTTCGGGAGACCGGTTTCTTTGCTCCCGACACTGTTGAATTAAGAACCAGACGAATTGGAAGGGAACTAGGAGTAAGTAAAGATGTCGTTCATAAAGTGCTTGGAGAACAATTGCTATATCCTTACCATAAGAAGCCAGTACAAGAATTATTAGTCCATGATCCTCAAATTCGTTTGGGTTTTTGTCGATTTGTTAATATGCAAAGAGAAAGAGATGCAAACTTTGTCAAGAAGGTTCTCTTTACCGATGAAGCGGGTTTTACAAGAAGAGGTATAACTAATACCCATAATGAACATGTTTATGCCGTTGAAAATCCGCATGCAATAAAGGTAAACCATTTTTAGCACGAATTCAAAATTAATGTGTGGACTGGAATAATTGTTAATTTCATTGTTGGTCCTGTCATACTTCTACGAAGATTAACTGGAGAAAATTATTTGGATTTTCTACAAAATACGTTGCCAGAATTGTTAGAAGATTTACCTCTCCAACTTCGGAGAGATATGTGGTTTGTGCAAGATGGAGCTCCACCACATTTTTCTTTAAACGTTAGAAACCACTTGAATGAACAATATCCACACAAATGGATAGGCAGAGGTAATGACGCACCTGTATACTGGTCACCACGTTCCCCAGACCTAACACCGATGAATTACTTTTTATAGGGACATCTGAAATCCACAGTTTACAGGGAACCTGTAGAAAATGAGGAACAACTCTGGCAACGTATTCAAGATGCAATAAACAATCTTAGAGGTGATGAAGAAGTTATGGAAAGGATACATTTTAATTTTCTTCGACGTATAAATCTTTGTATGCGTGAAAATGGTGAACATTTTGAACAATTTTTGTAAAATCTCTATTTTGATTAGGTTGTAAATAAATATTTTTGTGAAACCGATACACTCTAAATTATTAAAACAGATATTTAGCGAAAACCATGAGAGTAATCGAGTCTTATCAAGAGTACCTTTTTTAAAGTAAATGAGTTGCGCAATCTAAATTTCATACTTAAACTCCTTTTCTTCCATTGGCGTAGAATTTTTAAAGGTGCAATCATTTAAAAAATCAAGTTCTACGCCTATGTATTATTATCGGACAAAATTTTAATACCATTTTTTTTTTTCCACATAAAACTCTACCAATATACCAAATTTTAGCAAAATCGCATATGCCGTTTTAAATTTATATGGGAAAAACGATTTAAAAATTGTAACTTCAAGGCCCTCTGGAGCCCAAACGAAGCAACTTTGTATTAAGGTAATTTTACTTAAATCGACTTATTTTGGTCTAAGGAATATGTGGTATGTTTTTGTAAAGACCTTTTACAGACACCCTGTATAATAATATAATTAATAAATTATAAGATTTATCAAAATTAAAAATGTACCTACAAAAATTAATTTGTGACAAAAAAATTTTTAAAATTATATTTAAATTTATGTGTGACTAGATTTTAAATTTGATTTACCTTAAATTGTTTTTTATGCTTTCACTGCTACGATGGGTAGATATTCAATATTTTTAGGTTTATTTGGAATTTAATCATTGAATGCCTAAATTCCCAATCACTATTTTATTCACCCAGGAAAGCTAAATTTGGTACCCTTGTTGATTTTAGGGAGCAAGCGTTCGATAAAATTCAAATTTCAAGAGATTTTAAAAAGGTAAATTAAAATATTTATATCGGTATTTGCGGTTTTGACAAGTATTAGAAATTAAAAATTTAAAAAAACCGACTTCAAAAACGTGCAGATGCCGTCACCATATCTTAACCAAATTTATATGGGACCACCCCTGAGGTATCCTCTTACTAACAAAAAAAGAATCATATAAATCGGACAATTTGGTAAAGCATTATCGCTAAATATACATAAAAAATGAAGAGTTTGAGGATTTTCTCATGGACCCAATTATTATATCTTGACCAAATTTATATGGGACCACCCCTGAAGTACCCCCTTTCTAACAAAAAAAGAATTATTGAAATCGGACACCGTGCTGAAGAATTATCGCTGAACATACATAAAAAAAAAAAAAAAAAAAATATCGCGACGAATTGATAACCTCCTCCTTTTTTGAAGTCGGTTAAAAATCTGCTTTATAAGCATGTTCATTTTTTTCGTGGTATTTTAATATAATATTTTGACGTATTCAAATAATTTATTTAGAATGATGTTAAAATGTAGAGTATATTTTTAAAGTATATCTAAGAAACATAAAATGTTACAGACGTGAAATTAGTTTTTAGATTATGCTATAAAATAAATAATTATGCGTTTTGCAATTTTCCAGTTACAGGTGTTTGTCAATATCTATTTGAGGATTTTTAAAACTAAACATTCCACAGACGTCAAGATTAAGATTCAAAGGCTACTTTAAAAATAAATACACATTGTCTACACACATTTGTTAATCATTTTTCAATACTTGAGTACGCGGAATAGTAAAACAGTTGGTAATTTTTTACACAGATACTTATAGGTATAGTAGTTATGAATAAGCAGCTCCTTATCTAACTCCCAAAAGTGGAAAAAAACTGGTAAAAAGTTGCAAAAAGCTGCAAAAAGTTGCAAAGAGTTGCAAAAATTTGCAAAAAGTTGCAAAAATTTGCAAAAAGTTGCAAAAGGATGAAAAAAGTTGTAAACAGTTGCAAAAAGTTGCAAAAAGTTGCAAAAAGTTGCAAAAAATTGCAAAAAGTTGCAAAAAGTTGCAAAAAGTTGCAAAAAGTTGCAAAAAGTTGCAAAAAGTTGCAAAAAGTTGCAAAAAGTTGCAAAAAGTTGCAAAAAGTTGCAAAAAGTTGCAAAAAGTTGCAAAAAGTTGCAAAAATTTGCAAAAATTTGCAAAAATTTGCAAAAAGTTGCAAAAAGTTGCAAAAAGTCCACCCAAGTTTTACAGTATATTTTATGTATTACCCACTAAATAAATACCTAACTAAATCAACAAAATTTAAAAAATTTATTTGGAAGTAATTAAGTTAAAAAGATAAAAGAACTATTTTAAAGATAATTAACAAAAACATTTCAAATTATAAATTAAGCTGATGAAATAAATTTGGAAAAATAACTATTCTCAGAGATTTAAACCTCGAACCTTAGAACCTTAGAACTTTAGAAGCTTGGAACCTTGGAACCTTGGAACCTTGGAACCTTGGAACATTGGAACCTTAGAACCTTACAACCTTAGAACCTTAGAACCTTAGAACCTTAGAACCTTAGAATCTTAGAACCTTAGAACCTTAGAACCTTAGAACCTTAGAACCTTAGAACCTTAGAACCTTAGAACCTTAGAACCTTAGAACCTTAGAACCTTAGAACCTTAGAACCTTAGAACCTTAGAACCTTAGAACCTTAGAACCTTAGAACCTTAGAACCTTAGAACCTTAGAACCTTAGAACCTTAGAACCTTAGAACCTTAGAACCTTAGAACCTTAGAACCTTAGAACCTTAGAACCTTAGAACCTTAGAACCTTAGAACCTTAGAACCTTAGAACCTTAGAACCTTAGAACCTTAGAACCTTAGAACCTTAGAACCTTAGAACCTTAGAACCTTAGAACCTTAGAACCTTAGAACCTTAGAACCTTAGAACCTT